GCAGAGGGCTCTCCTGATGTCCACTTCCAGTATGAATGATTCCTTATTTCCTACTGTCCCACTCACCCCCATATACTCCCATGGGGACCCCATCCCTGTGAAACTCCACTGTCCCAGGTACCATGGCATCCCAGCACTTTGTCCACCACAATGAGATACCTCCTTACTCTTTTTTAAAAATGTTTATTAAATTTTATTAGTTTTAGTGAAAAAAAAGTCTCACTAAGAGGAGAAAGGTACAGACTCAGTGAATAAGTGAATGAGTTGTGCTACATGGCTGAAAAAATATCTGCTAAGAAAGGCAAGATGACTAAGTGGAAAAGCTCCAGAAGTTTGGAATTTTAGTCAGAATAGGCTTGAACCCGAATTCCAGTATTCACATGTTCTGTGACCTTTAGCATTTCAGATCCTTGGTTTCCTTGACTACAAAGTGGAGATAACTATGCTGACAGCGCGATGAGTTCACGAGTAGTAAGTGAACAAATACATGTTACAGAAATATTCCAGCCCATACTGGGAGTTCAATCAATGGTCGTTGCCTTTCTTCCTGCTTTTCCCAGTACAGGCTATGAATACTCTCTTGGCTGAGTCCATGAAGGGAGAAGCAGACCAAAGAGGTTGCCGTATGGTAAAGTTTGCATAAATGGAAAAAGGAAACAAAGTAAAGAGTGTGAATTACACAAATTAGTTCTAGGAACTAATTTACCTCTTTTTGAGACTTGTTTGAAGGAGACAGAATAGAGAGATACTTCCTGTGAATAATGAGCTCTATTAGCACAGTATTTAAGTGCTTAGCTGCTAATCCAAAGGTTGGTAGTTTGAATCTACTAGTCACTCTTTGAGTGGGAAAAAAAGTCTGCTTCCATAAAGATTACAGCTTTGAAAAGTGTACGAGGCAGTTCTACTCTGTCCGATAGTGTTGTTATGAGTTGAAAAATTGGGGCTTAGTTCCTGGGGCTTAGTTCCTATTTGTGTATTTGTTTTTTGGGGGCCCTGGTGGCACAGTAGTTAAGTGCTAAGTTACTAATTCATGCTCCATGGGGATGAGAAAAACACCTGGTGATATGCTTTTAAAAAAAAAAATTAATTTTTTTAATTTATGGCCTTTGGGACAGTTCTACTCTGTCACACAATGTTGTCATGAATCAAAAATGAGTTAAGGGCACCTCCTCAAAAATAAGTGCTTATTTATTGTTAGGGAGAGAAATCACAACTTCATGGGACAGAATCCTGGCTGATACTGTCTTAAAGTTAGCATCACTAGTAATGGGACCAATTGATCTCCAGTGCCTACAGTGATGTCCTGAGAAGAACACAGGATCTTTTCATCCATCACCTAAGTCTAATCATGAGGGAATATTTGACAAGCCCACACTGAAGGATATTCTGCAAGGTATTTCATCTATGCCTTTGAGCTGTGGTGTTGGAGAAGAGCACTGAACATCCCATGGATGGACAAAAGAACAAACAGATACGTCTTGGAGAGAATATAGCCAGAGTGTTTTTTGGAGGCAAAAATGATGAGTCTTTGCCTCACTTACTTTGGGCATGTTTCTAGGAGGGGCTATTCTTTAGAGACGGACATGATGCTGGAAGGGTCAAGAAAGGAGAGGAAGACCACCGACCAGGAGGATTGGCAAGGTGGGCTCTTGTATGTCAGGAAGTGTGAGAATGGTGCAGGATAGAACAGGGTTTTAGATCTTTTGTTCGTAAGGTTGCAAGAGTCGTACTCAACTAGACGGCACCTAACAACAACAACAACTGAAAATGTCAAAATAATGAAAGACTATGATAAAAGAAATTATTCCACATTGTAGAAGACTAAAGAGAAATGAGAACTGTGTGTGACATATGGTTTCAGATTGAGTTCCTTTTCATCTGAAAAACATGATTGAATGATTGAAGAAGTTTGAACAGAGTCCATGGATTGGCTAATACTATTGTCTCAGTGGTGATTTCCAGATTTTCATAATTGCATTGTGATTAGGCAGTAGAAAGTCCATGCACTTAGTAGTTAGAGATAAAGGGAGATAACTGATTTCTAACATGGAAGTAATCAGAGATAAAGGGAAATCAAGGTTGTAATGTACTGTCAGACGGTTCAGAAATAGAGCAGCTAGATAGGCAGACACAGAATAAAGAAGCAAATGTGGCTGAATGTCAACAGCTGGAGAATACGGCTGAAGGGTACTTACTTCTAGCTCATTTTGTCAACTTAAAAATATGAAATTACATTAAAATAAACGTTTCCTACAAAAAGGATGTAAGATCCATGAAGACAGGGGTATTACTGTGTGCTTTATTTACAGATCTATCACCAATATCTGGAACAGTACTTGGCATTTTT